CTCCTGTGGGACAGCCCTCCACTACCTTGCTGTCTTGCCATCATGGATGGAAATAGTAGCCATGTAGTTGTGCTTTGTTATTTGGGTTTGGTCAGGGTTCAGCTAGGTGACTCTTCAGCTTCCTGTGACCTCTGCAAGAGTCACTCAGTGCGATTCATTCGAGGTCAGGCTGAGCTGGGTGTCTAAGGAACTTGCATCCTGGGCTGGGATGGCAGAAACCCTGGCTCTCTACGTGGAACATCCTGGTGGCCGCAGGGCAGTCAAGAGTGAGTGTCCCAAAGTGAGCATGGTGGCGCACACCTGTGACCCCAGTGATTCAGGAGGCTGGGGCAGGAGAAGGGCAAGTTTGAGGCCAGCCTCAGCAACTCAGCAAGACTGGGTCTGAAAATAAAAAGGGCTCAGTAATGTCACTGGGTTCAATCCCCAGGACAAAAAAAAAAGAAAAGAAAAGAAAAGAAAGGTGACTTTTTTACATTTCTCAATCCTATTAACATTTGAGACCAAATAATTATAGGGAGCCCTCCTGGGCTATGTGCTGCATCCTTGGTCACTAGCTCAGACACATACCACCAACCAGAAGTGTCTCCATGTTGGGCATGTTACATGCCTGTGGTCCCAGCTCCTCAGGAAGCTGAGGCAGGAGGATTGCTTGAACCCAAGAGTTGGAGACCAGCCTGGGTGACATATAAGATCTATCCCCCCAAAAGAATAACTTAAAAGATAAATGAACAGCAATGTCTCCAGACAGTGCCGAGTGTCGGCTAAGCCCGTAACTGTCCTGCTTAAGAACCACCACCTTGGGATCCCCCTACTGTGACTCTAGGCCTCCAACCTGCACCGGGAAACTTCATACCAAAAAACTGGGGTTGCATCCCCAAACAGGTGGCCCCAAGTTGGAAGATCATGTGATTCCCTAGCCCCATGAGGGGTTCTAGTCCCCCGTCTATCAGGGCTGATGTAGAGGCCCCCAGTAGACTTGCCTCAGTGGTACCCTGAAGGACAGAAGCTCCTCTCCCACCCCTCATCCACTCCCAACCTCACACAGGACATGACCTGGGTGCCGAGGCAAGGGGGCCCTTGCAGAGTATCTGACAAAGCTTCTCCTCTGACTCTGGCCACCAGCTCAGGAAGCCAACACTCCTCGCTCCTTCCCAGTCAGAGGTCAGGATGGCTGATGGGGAACAGAGGGGTTTGAACCTGCTGACAGAATTTGCTGGGAGGATGTGGGTGTGAATGAGGAGAGTCACACATGCCTTCGTGGTTTTCAGACGGAAGCACCAGAAGGCCAGGGTGCCATCATGAGGGGGAGTCAAGGGAAGAACAGGTCGGGAGAGAGTATTGGGAACCAAATTTGAACAAGTGGAGAAGTCCACTTGTCATCCCAGGGTTGATGCCAAGCTGGAGAGACAAGCCTGGAACTTGGGAGCGTGCTCCAGGCTGAAGCTAGAATTATGGGAGTCATCAGAGATGGTATTTATAGCCACGAGACTGGCGGAGATCACCCAGGGAGGGAGTATGGAGAGTGAGGTCCTGGACTGGGCTCTGGTGCTGTCTGATTAATAATAATCAGATAATAATTACCATCACTTTAGTCCTTGGAGTATCTGGCATGGTGCCTGGCCCTCTGTACAAATTCACTACACTGAATAGAACTTTTTCCCCATACTTTATCCGCCACCACCCCCAACTTTCCCCACTAATCAGAACTCAGTCTTAGCAAAGACCTGGGATGTGGGGCGCAGAGGCACAGCTTGGGAGGCTGAGGAAGGAGGATCATGAGTTCAAAGCCTACCTCAGTAATTTAGTGAGATCCTAAGCAATTTAGCAAGACCCTGTCTCAAAATGTAAAGAAACATGGGGTTGTGGCTCAGTGGTAGAGTGCTCGCCTACATGCACAAGGCACCAGGTTCAATCTTCAGCACCACATAAAAATATTGTGTCCACCTAGAGCTTAAGAATAAATATTTTAAAAAAGATATTGTGTCCACCTACAACTAATAAATATTTAAAATATAAATGTATGTTCAATTAAAAAATTTAAAGAAATATAAAAAGGTCTGGGGATGTGGCTCAGTGGTTAAGAGCCCCTGGGTTCAATCCCTGGTACCAAAAATGAAAAAAAAAAAAGGACCTGGGAGTTAGGATCACTCAGTTAAGTGGGGAACGTAAGTATTCTCTAGAGTTGGGCAGTTACCCCAGAATGAAATCTTGTTCTCACAGGGAAGCCCGGGTTATCTGAAATTCCCACTCCAGCAACAAAAGTTATCCCAGAATCCCGAGCTGCAACCATCCCTCACCCCCATGCCCCAGTATGCTGAATTTCAACTATTTTACTTTTTCTGATAAGAGAATTTTAAAACTGGGAATTTGCTCTGCAGGAAAGTGGTCACACTGGTTAACCCCTTCAGTCTCTCACCCGCTTCAGGAACTATGGTCTCAAGCTGACTCCAAATGCAGCCCTCGACCTTTCCACACCCTGATGAGCAGAGGCACTGAAATAGCAGCATGAGTCACTCAGGGACTGTCATGTGATGCACAGGCCAGGATGCCTTCTGCAGTGAAACTCCCGTGTTCCAGAGACCTGGGCTAAGGAAAGGGGACACTGGCCATCCCATGTGGCTGCCTCCCTGTCCCTCTTGGGAGGGCTCCAAGTTCACCAAGAGGTTAGAAAAAGCCTGAGTAGGTGGAAATTATAAGAGCTCACATTTTTTAGTGTTCCAAAGTAAATTTATCATGATAGTGAAGGAGCTTAAGTTTCAGGGGGCCCCAGTTGCCCACCTTCTAAAGCCCCACATCTCCTTTTTTTAATATTTATTTTTTTTTTCAGTTTTAAGTGGACACAATATCTTTATTTTACATTTATGTGGTGCTGAGGATCGGACTCAGTGCCTCAAGCATTCTAGGTGAGCACTCTACCACTGAGCCACAACCCGAGCCGCCCCCCCCCCCACATCTCCTTTTTTAGTTCTAAGTTTCCTTTTCACAAAAGAAGCTTGTTTTCTTTCTTTTTTCCACCCCACCACCTTGTACTGGGTATTGAACCAAATGGTGCTTTACCACTGAGCTACATCCCCAGTCCTTTTCATTTTTTGGTGAGACACAGGGTTGGGCTAAGTTGTCCAGGCTGGCCTCAAACCTGCTGAGGCTGGCCTTAAATTCTTTGATTCCCCTGCCTCAGTCTCTGGAGTTACTGGAATTACAAGCATGCACCACAGCGACCCAAAAGCGATTTTTGCGTTTTCACTCATACTGTTTTTACCCAGTGCTTACAATTACCCTCAACACCTAATAGGGTGTTTGATACTATTTGATGAATTAGTGAATGCCTACTATGTGCCAGGTACTGCGCAACACATTAGGAACCCCAAAATAAAGGAAAACAGACACAAGGCCCTCGCTGACCTGACTGCAGTGCTGATAACAAACTCATTTAATTTGCACAGCCCACAGTGCTATAAAAGAGGTAAATACTGGACGGACGTTAGTGTGCTTGAAGGGCACCAGCTGTCAAGGAACTCTGATAGCCAGGCAGCCTGAGAGATGGGCAGTTACTCCAGCAGAGGGACAGAGTGAAGAAGTCTGCCTAGTTCAAGAACAGAGACTAGTTCAAGAACAGAGACTGGGCTGTGGCTAGAGTCTGTACTGGAGAGGAGAGGGAAAGGTGGGAAAAGCAGGCCTGCTTAGTGGGTCCTAAATCCCATCCCAAGGCCTCCAAGAGTTTTGAGGGAAGATTACCGCGTATGAGATCTGCTGTCATTTTGGTTGCTGAGAACAGAAGAAACACAGCGGGATGGGGAGCAAGTATTGACAAACGGGGACCCTTTAAACCCTCGGGAGAGATGGCACTACCCACAGTGGGTAGGAGGAGGACACAGCAGGGCCCAAGAGTCTCATCCAACTCCCCGACCCCAAAATCAGGAGGCTGCTTTGCTCCAATAACCACAGCACACCTTGGGAGCAAAAGCAGCGTCCTAATCAGCAGGTCCATCCCTTCACACCCCAGGCTCTTGCGTGTCTTGCCTTGCTTCCACATTTGGGGCTGGGGCTTAAGGCCCTACCCGGCCGCCCTGGCCCACAGGTGAAGTAAGTAGCTCATTCGACCGTTTCCTTTCCCCCTTTCAGTCTGTGCTTCCCGCGGGCTAACACTGCAGGTTGACTCCCCCTCGCTCCTCCGTTACCAAACCCTGCACCCGAGGGTTCAGAGAGGGTGTGCGGCTCCGCGGCGACCACCCAGAGGACCAGCCGCGCCGCGGGGAGAGCCTGGGCCTGTCCAGCCCAAGCCCAGCACCTTCACTGCCTCGCGGCCTTTTTTTTGAACCTTCAACCCAACAGCTGGGATGCAGGGCCCGAGGTCGGGGCGCTGGGCAGCGCAGGCACCCATCGGCCAGAGCCAAGCTCTCCCAGACCAGCCGCGACGGTCACCCTGAAGGCTGGGACCCCAAGCCCGACGCACAGGGGCGAAGGGGATCTGTCGGTCAAATTCTCGGCGGAGTGAGGCAGGAAGCTGGCCTAGAGGCTGGTCCCGCGGCCGCCCGAGTCACAGCGACAGTGCTCATGGCTCAGACTCCAGTCAACCACCAGCCGGGCTAAAGCAGGCCCTCTGCAGGGCAGCAATTTAAACCTATCAGCGCAAAGAGTTGACAACTCCCCGCCCAACTGAAGTTTTTTTTTTTTTATTCTGAAGACGGTCGCGTCCTGGAGTCCTGCAGCCCAATGAGAGAGGTGGAAATTTCCAGAAAGAACAGGACCAATGGGCGCGGCCACTTCGTCCGCGATTGACGGACTAAAGCGCCAATCCGTGTCGCAGAAGTCCGCTCCTCCCTCCATTCGTAGAGCCTGCGATGGGCGGGGCTTTGGGGGAGAGTCCAATCCCAATGTGCGGAGGAGGCAGGGTCGAAGCTATTACTCTCCAATGTCCAACGAGAGGGAAGCAAAGATGATGGGCTGGACTCCAAGCCAATAGTAGAGTAGTACAGACAACCTCCTAGAGGAGCTCGACCAGTGAGTACTCGAGGAGGGGGCGGGCGCCGGAGTCCCGGCAGCTTCTAGTAGGTTCCAGAAGGCGGCGCGTGCGGTTGGGAACGCGGAGCGGACGGGAACGCGGAGCGCTCGGATTCGATTCAACGGGGTTCCGGGCCAGGCTATGGAGCAGGTGAAGGGGGAGGGGCGGGCTGAGGCCCTGGTGCCTTTCGGCGTCCGACCGAGGCCAAGCCGCGGCGGAGGGGCGGGGTGAGGCGGGCGCGGGGCCGGGGCGTGCAGCTGCGGCGGGAGGCGAGGGCGTGCGGGCCGTAGTCGCGGCCGCAGGGCGGGAGGGAGTCTGCAGCGCGGCCCGACCAGGGGAGCGACCATCGCCTCCTGGCTCGGCGAGGACGGCCGGAGGAGGCCGGGGTTCGGCGTGAGGCGGGCCCGCGGCGGGAAAAGGGGCCGCGGCCGAGCCCCGGGGGCCTCCAGAGAGGTAGCTGCAGGCTAAGCAGGGGGATGGCGCCGGCCTCACTGGAAGGCTGGAGGTCGGCGAGGGGCCTTATTTGACACCGGGGAGGTCTCGATCTTGGAGGCCAGAGCCTGCCGATGGAGGAGCCACCCAGCAACTTGGCCACGATGAAGTTGGAAAATCCAGGGAGCGGGAACCGCAGTACCCTGGGAGTAGCCGGGGCACTCCGGAGCCTGGGACCCAGTTGGGGAAATGCTCCTTTTGTGCATCTTGGAAGGTCAGGGTAGAAAAGTTGAGTAGACTTTGCCTGATGCAGGGGGTGGCGGTGTTGCAAAGTCCTTGGGAGAAATTCTGTCTCTACCTGTGTTTTACATATGTGTGCACAGCCCCTCCCCCTCTTTTTGTCTGTGTGACTGTAGGGTGACTGAGGACTGACACCTCTGGAAAGTCGGTTTCTGATTACACAGGAATTAGTAGCTATAGACCTAGTGAGCAAACAGAAGTTAACTTGCTTCTGCGCAGCATTTGGGGGGCCGAGTTGAAGCTGCTGCTCTTGCTTTCTGTAACTTGGTTAAGTCCACCGTGACTTACAGCTGAGAGGTCTGGAGAGTTTTTTTTTTTTGCATAGGAAACCGTTTTTGAGCTGTAGTGATTTATCTGGAAAAAGTCAGAACAGCTCACTCTTTTTGCAAAAAAGCTACAAAACTGAATCTTTAGTGTGGTGTAGCTGCAGCTCCTGTAGTGAAAGCTGGAGCTTCCTTGTTAAATTAATAAGTGGAAATTTAGAGAATAATAAACTTTTTATCCTTTCATAATCAAAAGGGTTTGTGGTGTGTGACAAGAATAAGAAAGGCAGTTGCTCTTAACAAAATATTTTGGTTAGGGGATCGGTGGATTGAATCCAGGGCCTTGAGCATGCAGTGTGTGCTCTGTCACTGAGCTGCATCCTAAACCCAAAATAGTTTTCTTAAAAAACACACCAGCATTGTAGAAGGATACGTACGCACAGGTAAGCTGTGATTGACTAAACTCAGAGCTGCAAACTTACATGAGGAATACACAAATGACTCTCCTTCCCCCCCTCCCTAAATAAGCATCTGCATTTACAGTTTATTAATTTGTTTATTTTTAGGAGATGAGGGTCATACTATGTTGCAAAGCTGGGCCCACATTCGCATGCTCTGGAGAACCTCATGCCTCTTGGCCTCCCCAGTAGCTGGGACCACGGTGCACACTACCACACAGGCTTGTTTTCATTTTAATCTGTGAGAGCCATGTTTCAATTTTGAGAAATATTCAAGATGGACAATTTTTTTTTAAGATATTTATTTTTTAGTATAGGTGGACACAGTGTCTTTATTTTACTTTATGTGATGCTGAGGATCAAACCCAGTGCCTCACCCATGTTAAACGAGTGATCTACTTCTGAGCCACAACTCCAGCCCTCAAGAGGGACAAATTTAAGTGATCAAATACACTTTTTTTTTTTTTTTTTTTGGTACTCGTGATTGGAATCCATTGGTGCTTTTACCACTGAGCTACATCCTCAGGTCTTTTTATTTTATTTTGAGATAGGGACTTGCTAAGTTTGCTGAAGCTAACCTGGAACTTGTGATCCTCCTGCTTCAGCCTGCTCGCCTGCTGGGATGACAGGTGTGTGCCACCAGGCCACCTCACAGTGATACACTTTTTACATTTGACCCAATACAGATTTGCAACTCTCGATGTGGTTGGTTGGTTTGTTTTTTGGCAGTGCCAGGAATTGAACCCAGGGCCTTCAGCATAGTAGGCAGCAGCTTTTCAAAATTGGTCTCTATAATACAGAAAAGTATTTCTTCTTCTTTTTTTCTTTTTCTTCTTCTTTAATTTTTCATGATTATTTTTGTGGTGTTGGGGATCAAACTCAGGACCACTTTATTTTTTGAGCTAGGGTCTCACTTTGATCCTGACTGGCCTTGAACATGGTAAGTCTTCTGCCTCAGCCTCCTGAGTCGCTGGGATTATAGGCATGCTCCACAATCCCTGGCTCACTCACTCTTCCTTTTTTTCCTTTTTGTGGTCCTGGGGATCTCTTGTCTAACCTCAAACTTGCAATCCTTCTGCCTCTGGTCTCCTGAGTAGCTAGGCTTACAGGCATTTGGTACCGCACCCAGCTGAAAAGTATTTTTCATGTCTAGTTCTGACCTGCAGTGGGAAAGGAAATCAGTTTTGTAGGTCACAGCCAGCATTGTTTTTTTTTTTTTTTTTTTTTGGCTCTGAGGTTTGAACCCAGGTCCTTGAGCATGCAAAACACTTGTACATTCTACCACTTACCTGTCTATACTCTCAGCCCCTGTATAACATGTGTAATAAAACAGTATTATGTACACTGTGTTTGTATTTTCTGTTTTACTTGCTCTTTTAAAATGCTAGTCAAGAGCCCGGCATGGTGGAGCATACCTGTAATTCCAGCAACTCAGGAAACTAAAGCAGGAGGATGGCAAGTTTGAGGCTAGGTTCACCACTTAGTGAGGCCCTGTTCAAAATAAAAAAGGAGCTAGGAGTGTAGCTTAGTGGTAGAGCACCCCAGCACCAAAAATACAAAATGTTGGTCATGACCTACAAAACTGATTTCCTGTCCCACTGAAGGTCAGTATTGGGTTTGAAAAATGCTCCTCTGGAAGGTAGGCAAGAACTTCACAAAGCTGTTCCTTAGCTGTCTCTCTCCCTGCCCCAATTTTTTAAATTATAAGGATCTCACTTAAGTTGCTGAGGCTGGCTTTGAACTTGGTATTCTCCTGCTTCAGCCTACCAAGTTTCGATTATAGGCCTGTGCCACTATGCCAGTTCTCAGTTGCCTCTTCACACCAGTTGAGTGGAGCTTATGAAGTTTCAGCTTCATACCTCAATCCTGGACTCTGCGACTTTCATCCCTTGTTTGCTAAATTTTGGTTGTTTTCCTCTGCCTTTTCCCTCTTTACCCTTGTGAATTGTATTTTGATTTTTTTTGTTGTTTTGTTTTGCTTTTGCAATGTTGGTAATCACACTCATGGACCCATGCTAGCCAAGCAAGAACTGTACCACTAATCCACATCCCTAGCACTTTGCCCTTGCTCCTTTAAGATCTCTTGGGATGGGGCCAGGCATGGTAGCATGGGCACACACCTGTAATCCTGGCCACTTGGCAAGATGAGGCAGGATTGCAAGTTCAGGGCCAGCCTGGGACACTTAATGGACATCCTGTCTCAAAAGTGCTGGGGATGTAGCTCAGTGATGGAATACCCTGGATTCCTAGTTTGAATCCCCACTACTGGGGCTGGGGAGAGGTTCCCATGGATGAAAGTTCCTGATTGATGTGCATCAAGATTTCAAAGTAATTTAACAGAATTCTTTAGGGGATGGATGGGTTACTGAGGCCACTTTACCACTGAGCCACATCCCCCAGCCCTTTTTATTTTTTTGAGATAGGGTTTTACTAAGTTGCTATGGCTGGCGAGTACTTGAAATCTTCCTGCATCAATATCCCAAGCTGCTGGGATTACAGATGTATACCACCATGACTGGCCAGAATTCATTTATTCTTAATATTAATACACTGGGTCCTGGGTGTATAAAGACTGCCTTATTAGCTCAAATGATCTGGAGTCCCACGGATTATGTTTCTACTTTGGAGGGTGCTATGGATATATGGTGGGTCATCTGACCTTTTATAGGATAATTCTCCTCTTAAAAACCCTTTCATTAAGACCCTGTTAGGCCAGGGCCTCCTTCCTTCACTTTTTAATCACCTTGGTGTGTTCTACCTTGCATTCTGATTCTGAATATTTGGGAGGATAGGGAATTTACTTTCTCTAGCCTCTTTGTGTTATAGTAATATTCAAGCCTTTGGAGGACCAGCTTACTCATTTAGGATCAGAATTAATCTACCATGTGGTGACATTTTACCACGTGGATAAATGGAGATGGTAGCTGAGCTATGAGAATTTGTACACACACACAGGGATTGAACCCAGAGGGACTTAACCACTGACCAACATCACTAGCACTTTTTTCTTTTTGATTTTTTTTATTTTGAGACAGGGTCTCACTAAGTTGCTTAGGGCCTCAGCCTCCCAAGTCCCTGAGATTATAGACTTGCACCACTGCACTAGCTCATGAGGAGCATCTTGGGGGAGGGGGCAGGTACTGGGATTAAACCTCAGGGCCACTCAACCACTGAGCCACTTCCCCAGCCCTGTTTTGTATTTTATTTAGAGACAGGGTCTCACTGAGTTGCTTAGCACCTCACTTTTGCTGAGGCTGGCTTTGAGCTTTTGATCCTCCTGCCTCAGCCTCTGAGCTGCTGGGATTACAGGCACCTGGCTCTGAGGAGCATCTTGATGCTCTAGAGGAAAGGAAACCTTGCCATCCTAAAGCCTGTGGTGTGCATGAATCTACATTCCTTCCTGATTATCTCTCCCTGTGGGGAGTGCTTCTGCCTGTGCTCAGTTTATCCTTTGGATTCTTTGGGAATCTGTGACAAATGAATTGGCGTATGTTGGTTGGTTTTTGGTGATGCTGGGAATTAAACCCAATCCCTTGGGCAAGTGCTCTGCCACTGAGCCACATCCCTAGCCTTCAGGTTTAGTTTTCCAGTGTAGGAACATGTGGGTAAGATCTGGAGGGTTCTGACATCTCTGAGTGAAAGGGGGACTGGGGTTCTTACCAGTCTGCACAAGAGCCACTGGAGAGCAGAGATGGGTTTCTTGTGCCTTGCTGCCCCCACCCACCCACTGCTGGCTCCCGAAGTTGTGGAAAATGAGTGATCACATCTAATCTATAAAGTAATCTGTGTACTGGTAACTGGGGAAAATGTCATCTAAAAACTTGGAGACAGATTAAGCATACTGTGGAGAGAAACTATAGGCTTTGTTTCTCCTCAGGTGAATGAGCTAAAGGAGAAGGGCAACAAGGCCCTGAGTGCTGGAAACATCGACGACGCGCTCCAGTGCTACTCTGAAGCAATTAAGTTAGATCCCCAGAACCATGTGCTCTACAGTAATCGATCTGCAGCCTATGCCAAGAAAGGGGACTACCAGAGAGCCTATGAGGATGGCTGCAAAACCGTTGACCTGAAGCCTGACTGGGGCAAGGTAAACCTGGGGGAGCTGGGACTCTAGCTCTTTCCCAGAAATGGCTTTTGGTTCTCAGTCTGGTCTGCAGTACTTATTGGCAGGTCCTCCTGCTTGGCCTAGTTGCCTGTCCCAGAAAAGTGATGTTTGTTACCCACCTAGCCCCTCTCTGCGTGAATATGCCCCTGAAAGTAATACCGTATTTCACCAAATTTAAGTTCACATCAGTTGTGAGCGTTGTTGTATTGCTGAGAATGAAAAGGATGTCCCCCAAAACTGAGAGCACCTGCTCATTAGACGGATCCAGGTGGGGAGGGTGAGTGTTGATATTGGGCATGAAAATTCTTTTTTTTTATTATTATTATTTATTTTTTAGTTTTTAGGTGGACACAATATTTTTATGTGGTGTTGAGGATCGAACCCAGTGCCTCGCGCATGCCAGGCGGGCACACTACCACTTGAGCCACATCCCCAGCCCATGAAAATTCTTAAAGATCAGTTGTTGTTGTTGTTGTTGTGTTGTCCTTTTTTTCTTAATGGCATTCGTGTGGATATATTTTGGTTCATAAAATGCAGAACAGGTTTTTTGAGTTTTTGGATTTATGCTGTTCTTTTTAAAAATTTTTGCATCCTTTTTCTTGGGTTGAAGGGTTATTCACGAAAAGCAGCAGCTCTTGAATTCTTAAACCGATTTGAAGAAGCCAAGCGAACCTATGAGGAAGGTTTAAAACACGAAGCCAATAACCCTCAGCTCAAAGAGGGTTTACAGAATATGGAGGCCCGGTTGGCAGGTAGATACCACTGTGTATTTTTTAAATGGGATTGATCATGAGGGCACAGTAATTAAAATGAACAGATTTCATAGTGATGCACTGTTAGATTTGTTGTGCTGGGACCAAAATACCTGATCAGAACAACTTAGGAGGAAAAGTTTATTTTGCCTCCTGCTCTCAGAGGTTCAGTCCATGGTGCACTGACTACATTGCTGTAGGTTCAAGATGGGGCAGAAGAGCTCCATGCATGGCAGCCGGGTTTGGGCGAGAGAGCCAAGGGGAAGAACAGTCCTTCCAGGACATGTATATGTGTGTCCCCAGCATTAACACAGGCGCTTTTGGGGACACCTCATATCCAACCATAATGTGTACTCTTCCTTTATTCAAACAGAGAGGAAATTCATGAACCCTTTCAACATGCCTAATCTGTATCAGAAGTTGGAGAGTGATCCCAGGACAAGGGCACTGCTTAGTGATCCTACCTACCGGGAACTGATAGAGCAGCTACGAAACAAACCGTCAGACTTGGCCATGTAAGTAGAGGCAGCACATCAGGTCTAGAAGGGAACTATGGCAGAGGGTTCCCTGGTCCAGACTGCAGAGTTTCTGCGTTTGCTTTTTCTCTACTGAGTGGCAGGGGTTTGTTTATTTGTGTATATGTAAGAGAGGGTTCAGAGGAGCATGTATTATGTCATCTCAATCTTGCTTTGAATCTGCAAGATTTCTTTCTTGCTCCTAGATTTTTTCAATTAAAAAAATTTTTTTTTAAATTTAAATTTTACCCCCCCAAAATTTTTTTTCCCTTTAGCAGTGCTAGGGATCAAACCCATGGCCTTGTGCATGTTAGGCAAGCACTGCTCCACCACTGAGCGACACCCCCTGTCCTCTCCTAGGATTCTGACCTAGTACCAATCCCACCCTTTCCAAAAACAGTCCTGCTGTCCCTGTTGAAAACCCTCTCATCAGGGTTGAGAGGAGCACCTGGTTTGGAGATCGCTTATAGATCTTGTACTGAAATCTGTCAGTATCTGAACCCCTGGCCCATGAGGTCAGATAGTGAGTTTCTTCTTTTTGTTTGTGCTGGGGATGGAACCCACGGCCTTGTGCATGCTCATGCAAGGCAAGCACTCTACCAACTGAGCCTTATCCCAGCCTGATAGTGAGTTCTGTCTACAGTAACTTATTTCTCTGTGTCTGCTGACCTCAAGTAACACTTCTGATTTTTGCAACTTCATTTTAGAGTTTTGAAGGGTTAAGTATTTTCCCTTTATGACTTGTGAGTAGAGTAGAATCCAGTCATCCATTGATGGGTGAGAAGCTTTAGTATACAGGAACCTGTTTGTAATGGGGTTTAGGGTCAGTCGTGGAGAGGAATAATGGCTATTTTTCTTCTTTTAAAAAATCAATACTAGGAAACTACAAGATCCCCGGATCATAACCACTCTCAGTGTCCTCATTGGGGTTGATCTGGGCAGCATGGATGAGGAAGAAGAGGCTGCGACACCCCCGCCTCCACCTCCCCCCAAAAAGGAAACCAAGCCAGAGCCAATGGAAGAAGATCTCCCAGAGAATAAGAAGCAGGTCTCATTTTTCTTTTTTCCTCACTGTCATGCATTTATAAACAAACAAATCACCTAGAAGCATGTACGCTGAATGGCAACAATGACAATGGATAGCTCTAATTTTTTTGAGAGCTTGGTATGTGCTAAGTTTATTATTGGTAGCTACTCAGGAGGCTGAGAAAGGAGAAACACTTGAGCCTGAGAGTTTGAGGACCACCTGGGCAACATAGCAAGGCCTTGTCTCAAAGAAAAGGAAAAGTTGCATATAAAAACACAGCAGCCTGGCTCGGTGTTTACACTGCCTGTGTATCCCAGGCATGGGTTTTCACACCTGTAATCCCCGTGGCTCAGGAAGCTGAGGCAGGAGGATCACGAGTTCAAAGCCAGCCTCAGCAACAGCGAGGTGCTAAGCAACTCAGTGAGACTCTTATCTCTGAATAAGATACAAAATAGGCTGGGAATGTGGTTCAGTGGTCAAGTGCCCCTGAGTTCAGTCTTTGGTAACACACACACACACAAAAAAAAAGGCAAAGACAAAAGATGAGCTTCACAAGAGATTTCCTAGTAATCGTGTATTTTGAAGCGTCTTGGTGTGGCATGTCCCCTGTAGTTAACACAGCTGCCACACACTGCTGCCATCTGAAGAACTGGGCAAAACAGGACAGTAAAGTTGAGGATCCAAGTCCCTGGCATGGTCCAGAAGAATGCTGTCTACATCAGTCCTTAGGCTTGCTGTCTCCTGGTTGGAAATAGTTTGTGATTGAAAGTTTGTCCACTTAGCAACACTCTTTGAGCAGGAGGCATGTGTCTGAACAATTTTATTTCCCTTCTTGTAACGGCAGATTGTTGCCAAATTTAGCACCTTTAAATGGGTAAGCGTTGGTTGCTCACAGTGTTTCAGCTGGAAAAGGGCCCTCAGTGTGGGTGGTAGTAAGCTGTGCTGAAGTCTCCTCCTGCCTCCCTGGCCCCTTCCCCTGGTCCTTTCAACACCACCCCTCTGCTGACAGCTATGACCTGGAAACAGCCACGTGACAGGAACCAGCCTTATGGCTACCTCTCAGCAAAACATGGCACAAAATTTTACTGTCTTTGCCATTGCTTTGAGTTGAGGGAATTCCTCTACCTTGAAGCCCTCTCCTTTCTGAAAGAGTCAGGAGAGTAGGTGGAAAATGCAGAGTGTCGAGGGAAGCAAAGATAAATTTTAATCTTGATGGTAAATATGTGATTACACACCTGTAGCCATTTGAAGACGAGACCTTTGTTACGGAGAACTCAGTTCCTTAGACGTGTTGCTTATACATGCCATCTCAGTACCCATAGCAGGTGATAGACTCGCCCCTTGGTCTTCTGAGTTGTATTGGCTAAGCACTTACTTCTCCGAAACCCCCCATCTAGGCACTGAAAGAAAAAGAACTGGGGAATGATGCCTACAAGAAGAAAGACTTTGACTCAGCCCTGAAGCACTATGACAGGGCCAAGGAGCTGGACCCCACCAACATGACTTACATTACCAATCAAGCAGGTGAGGCCCAGAAGCCAGGGCAAGAGAGTTTGTGGGCTTTTTTCAGGGAAGAGGCAAGGACTGACTCTTTTCACCACCCTGCTTGGCAGCGGTATACTTTGAAAAGGGCGACTACAATAAATGCCGGGAGCTTTGTGAGAAGGCCATCGAGGTGGGGAGAGAGAACCGAGAAGACTATCGACAGATTGCCAAGTATGCTTGACCTTCTGGAGCACCTCAAGTAGTGTGAAGGGTTTGCTGTCCAGGCTTAAATATCCTCGCATGGGAGGAGGGTTGCTGGCCCTGAATGTATCACATTAAGAAGGGGCTGGAGGGTCTGGGGATATAGCTCACTTGGAAGGATGCTTGCCTCGCACGCACAGGTCCTGAGTTCGATCCTCAGCACCACATAAAAATAAAGAAAGGTATTGTGTCTATCTACAACTAAAAATACTTTTTAAAGGGGGCGTGGGCTGAAAAGGTGGTCACAGGATCCAGGACAAGGTGTTGCAAGGGCACAGTGCCAAGGCAGTAATGTAGGTCTTTTTCCTAGTTGTAAGCGTATTTTCCCTGCAGGGGCTCACCTCATCTCTGGCTCTGCCCTCAGCAAATACTTTTCTCTCTTTCATCTTAACTAGAGCTTATGCTCGAATTGGTAACTCCTACTTCAAAGAGGAAGCGTACAAGGACGCTATCCATTTCTACAACAAGTCACTGGCAGAGCACCGAACCCCAGATGTGCTCAAGAAATGCCAGCAGGTGAGTTGGAAAGGAATGGGGATTGTTGTGTTTTTGTGTGGGGGATGGAACCCAGGATCTTGTACAAGTTAATCCTCTACCACTGAGCTGCATCCCCCAGCCCTGTGGATTTTCTTAACAGTTGAGTGTCATTGCTATCACCTTAAATGTTTTTAAGTAGCAGCAACTCTGGTCATTTTACATGATACTGGCCTTTTCACTTAATATTGACATCCTGTAAGTTTGAGGCCATCGTCAACAGTTTAGTGAGACCTTCAGTAATTTAGCTCAAGACCCTGTCTCAAATTTTTAAAAAAGGGTTGGGGATGTAGCTCAGTGGTAAAGCACCCCTGGGTTCAATCCCCAGGACATCCCCCCCACCAAAAAAAAAAATCCTCGCATGGGAGGAGGGTTGGAGGGTCTGAGGATATATAGCAAACATTTGAGGGTCAGTGGAATAACTGTTATGGTTTTTATTATAATTTAACAATCTATATTGACACTATTTGTCATAATTAACATAAGAGGGTAGTTTTATTCACAAAAAGATTGGTCAGGCCAGGTCTGAGGGCATATGCCTGTAGTCCCAGCTACTTAGAAGCAGAGACAGGAGGATGACTTGAACCCAGGAGTTCAAGGCCAGCCTGAGCAACATAGCAAGACCCCAACTCAAAAAAAAAAAAAAATGCTGTTCAGATATTTTATCGTTATCATATCATTTATCATTATCATTTTCTTGTTGGGCATATTTTTTTAATGAGGTGTACATCAGTACCATTCATTGTTTTATTATGTGCCTTGATAATGAGGAATGTAAAATATTTCTTACGGTGCTGGGAATTGAGCCCAGGGCCTCAAGCATGCTAAACCCACACACTACTGCTGAGCTACATCCCCAGCCCAGGATTGTAAAGTTCCTAAAACAAAAATTAAATGTTGCCAGCAGAACTCTAAAAATTAAAATCCCAAACACTTAGCCTAGTGTTTAGATAGTCATGGGAGTTTGACTTACTATTCATTCCAAGGATCTTTTTTCTTAGGCAGAGAAAATCCTGAAGGAGCAAGAGCGACTGGCCTACATCAACCCCGACCTGGCATTAGAGGAGAAGAACAAGGGCAATGAGTGTTTTCAGAAAGGTACCCACACAGTGTTTGTGGTGGATGACGTGGGGGGTGTCCTGCTCCTGACTCGGGAACCTAGAGGCAGAGGGTGGCTTACTGCTTGTTTCAAAAGTCTATTTTCCTTATCCAGGGGACTATCCCCAGGCCATGAAGCACTATACAGAAGCCATTAAACGGAATCCACGAGATGCCAAACTGTACAGTAATCGAGCTGCCTGCTACACCAAACTCCTGGAGTTTCAGCTGGCACTCAAGGTGGGTCTGAGAGGCAGGCTGCTGCTCCTGTGAACCTTTGCAGGAGGAATGGGATCCATCTCCTTGTTTCCTTCCATCAACAGGTTGATGTTTTTTGATTCCAGATTTTCGGTGGCAGTACTTATGAGTATAAATCATGGGGCCTGTGTTTGCCCAGTACTGGCACTTGGTGTTAGTGGGTGGGAGTACTTGAGAGGGTGTTCTCACCACCTTCCTTGAGAACCCTGGTACTTGTTGCTTTCCATTATCCATCGCTGTGTGTGTGTGTGTCTGTGTGTGTGTGTCTGTGTGTGTCTCGGGGTGCTGGAAATCATACCCTGAACCTTGCACGTACTAAGCAAGTGCTCTGCTGCTGAGTTATAAAAAGGGCCCCAGCCCCTTTTAACCAGCTCAGGTGCAGGTCAGCAGCATGAAGTTCATTCCCAGGGCATTTTCATCTCGTAAGCCGAAATTTCCCCCTGGTCACCGCGGTTCTTTTTAATATTCATCATGACTACTTTAGACACCTATCAGTGGATCACACATGATTTGTCCTTTTGTAACCGGCTTCTTCCACTTAGCACAGTGTCCTCTGGGTTCATTTGTTGAGGAGCACCGTATTGTTTTCTACCTGGCTGTGCCCGCTTTCCCTCAATTTTTTGATGTTCAGTTTAGCTGTAGGTAGGTGTGCAGTTGTCAGTCATATCAAGTGTGTTGTCTTTGACACCGGAGAAGTTGTTCCATGTCATTCTGACTACGAGTCACTCTGTTTTTGTTTTTCGTTTTGAGATAGGGTCTCACTAAATTTCCCAGGGTGGCCTTGAATCTGGGGTCCCCCTGTGTACCTGGGGTTACAGACATGTGGCACCATACCTGGCATAATTTTTTATTTTGAACATATTTAAACAGAAGAATATAATGTGAAGTCTCATGTATTCTCCATCTAAATATTGTCACTTGCTCAACCATTTGTGAAAAAGAATGAGGCCAGGCATGGTGGCACATTCCAGTATTCCCAGCTGATCAAGAGACTGAGGTTGGGGCTGCAGTTGTGGCTCAGTGGTTGAGCTCTTGCCTAGCATGTGTGAGGCACTGGGTTCGATCCTCAGCACACATAAAAATACATAAAGGCTTTGTGTCTATCTACACCATAAAATATTTAAAAAGATAAAATAAAGACATTGTGTCCACCAAAAACTAAAAAATAAAAAAACTCTCTTCAAAAAAAAAAAATGTCTTTGTGGGCTGGGGCTGGGACTGGGGCTCAGCGGTGGAGCACTCACCTGGTACATTTGAGGTGCTGGGTTTGATCCTCAGCACCATATAAAGATAATAAAATAAAGGCATGTGTCCAACTACAACTAAAAAATTTTTTTAAATATACGTCTTTGAGTTTTGAACAAGTATCAAATCTCAGCACTTAAGGGGGTTGTTATATTCTCTATAGAACTAGGTCGGATACCTCGTTTGCTTTTCATTACATCAGCCTTGTGTAGAGTCCAGCCGTCATTTTGTGTGGGCTGGTAATCTGGAGTGGTCTCTCCTGGTGCTGTCGCCCAGCTTTCTCCTGTCCTGCTTCACCTCTTAAGTAACCCAGGGACCAAGACAAGCAGGAATGGCAGGGGCAAAAGCCACGCACGGCCTCTGTGATCGCTGGCCTGAGTGAGCCATGAGAGAAAGCCTATTCCCTCTACTGCTTCTTTCTAGGACTGTGAGGAATGTATCCAGCTGGAGCCAACTTTCAGTAAGTGCTTTTCTCCCTCTTCTCTCCCTGGGTTTGATCAAAAGACTGAGGAGAAAGAAAGGGCAAGGGCTTGGGGCCCGTAGCATTTTGCATCATGTGAGGGGAGTCTGTGTGGGGGAGGCCTGGTGCCTTGGAGGCCATTGGAGGTCGTGCCTCACCTCTTGTTTGTCTGAAGTCAAGGGTTACACACGGAAAGCAGCTGCCCTGGAAGCCATGAAGGACTACACAAAAGCCATGGATGTGTACCAGAAGGCACTGGAACTGGACTCCAGCTGTAAGGTGGGCTGCCGCTGGCCATTGGGTCTTTTCTGTTTGCTCACTGGCTCTGGCCTCAGGTTCTCCTTCCCTGTCCCTCCTCAGTGATCTCTGCTGTCTTGGACCTGTCATAGCAGGTAGCCAGGTAATGGCGATGCCCTCCCCTTTGTCTTCTGGAATACAGGAGGCTGCAGATGGTCATCAGCGCTGTATGGTAGCTCAGTACAATCGGCACGACAGCCCCGAGGATGTGAAGCGACGGGCCATGGCCGACCCTGAGGTACAGCAGATAATGAGTGACCCAGCCATGCGGCTCATCCTGGAACAGATGCAGAAGGACCCCCAGGCACTCAGCGAGTAAGCCAAACTGCGGAAATGGCCGGCTCTGCAGGATGTGCATGGGCACGGTGTGGTCTGTGTAGGAGGAATTGTGGAAATCGTCCTCAGAATTACTGGAGAGGGTGGCAAGGTAAAGGAGGGGCCTCGTCTGCCCGTCGTCCTGATGGCTCAAGCAGTCGATTGGAAAGATCAGTTAACCTGGAGAAAGGTCTTGGCTTAGAGCCGTCCAGATGCACAGTGGGCCCTCTCCTGGCTGGCGGTGCCATCTCAGGGCTGTGAATTAGAGCTTGCTCTGAGAGTGAGGAAGCCTTTTCAGGGTCAAGAATCACTTCAAAGCCACTTTCTTTTTCCTCTTTAGACACTTAAAGAATCCCGTAATAGCGCAGAAGATCCAGAAGCTCATGGATGTGGGTCTGATTGCAATTCGGTGATGACTTGCTCATCTCTTCCCTTCACCCTCGTGGAAAGACGAGCTGGGATGGCAGCAAGCAGCATGGTGCAGGGGGAGAGGGAGGAAGACAGCCCATCTTTATATTTATACCTGCCTACGTGGAAGACACAGACTCATACAGCCGCTGCCTTGGGCCCTCTGAGCACTCGCATGGTCTCTCACTGCTGTCCTTGGGTTCCGTGTCTCCTTCCCCTGCCCCCTCAGTCGCTGTCTCGGCTGCTCCCCATAGTTAGTTATTTTTTATTTGGGGCAGTGGGCATATATGGGGAGGGGAGGGTGTTCTTCCCAACTTGGGGCCCCAGCTGTCTTCACATTGTTAACTCCACGCCTTCTTCAATAAAACAAGCCAATCAGGTGTGGTGACATGTTGCTGTGGCCTTGAATGTCCCTCCCCCCCCCCCCAAAAAAAAAGGACTTTCTCTCATGGGTGACCCTGGACTGGTGGAGGTTTTCAGTGACCAGGCTGGAAACCTGAGCCTGGCCTTTTCTGATGGACCAGCTTTGGCTGGGTGTGAGCTCCACTCAGTTCCACAAGGTGGCCGCTAGGTGGTGCTGTTGCTCAACAACTGAAGGTGGCCTGGTGACTCCTGCCCGACTAAAGTGGCACTAGGTTTAGGTCACTTTTGGAATGATCCCTGTGCTGTGAATTCTCCATTCTTATCCCACAATCAAAAACCAACAGTTCTAGAGAACTGTCCAACCGAGAACCACATGGACCATGAGATGCTCTGACCCGTAGAGAGCAGCTACTTGTCAGCTGGTCACAGTTTTCAAGAGCTTGCTCCTGGCATCCGGGAGCTTACTACTAAGCTATACTTCATGTTTGCAGCAAACTCCTAAAGCCCTCTTCCTGGCTGAGGAGGCCTCTGGCCGCCGTATACTTCCTCATTTGCTCCAAGAGCAGCTTCCTGGGCTAGCAAGACGCTGAGGCCAGCAGAAGGCTGTACTTCCTGCTCGCCTGGGTTTGCATGAGCTGCTCTTCCCCTGGGAATCCCCAGCTGTGCCTCTGAGAGAGGCCACACTGCCTCCCTCCTCAAGCTTAGGTCCTTGTGCCAGAGGAGTGGGCAGATATTAGGCCACAGATTCTCGGAGGTGACACCTGAGGAGTAATTGTCTGGTTTCCTTGGGAAGCACACTGCAAGTGGCCATATCACACAAAGCTGAGATGATGGCCAAGGGAGGTTGTAAGAGGTCAGGAAGAAAATTTTCAGTACTGGAGGTAGAACACAGGGTTTCATCCTCCACTACGCTGCTGCCCTAGCTTTTTTTTTAAGATTGTACCTGTAGATGGAGAGCATGCCTTTATTTTTATGTGGTGCTAAGGATCAAAGCCAGTGCCTCACATGCTAGGCAAGTGCTCTGCCACGGAGCTACAGCAACCCCACCCCCTTTGAGCCAGTCTTGCTTAATTGCCCAGGCTGGCCTCTAAGTTGAGATCTTCCTGTCTCAGCCCTCTGAGTCTTGATTACAGGCATGTACCACCATGCTTGGCTCAGAACAATTGCAGTTTACTGTTCACCTGGGCAGTTCTGAGGTTGACAGTTTGGGGAATAGAGGTTGTTCAGAAGTAGAAAACAGCACCACACTTTCCTTCAGAGGTCTTAGCTGATCAGGCTGCTCAGGCGGAGCAGACTGACCTGCTGAATTTCTAAAGGCTCTGGGTCCAAGCCTTTCGCCTCCAAGGCTCTCCCATTGGCAACCCAGGGATGTGGCTTGGAGGGTCGAACCTCATGCCAGCTGGAGAGGAGCTGAGCTTCACTTAGAGGAGGCCAGCCCTCAGCACCACACCCATCAGGGGCTCCTCCAGTCTAAACCAAGTTTCCCTCCAAAACGAAGGGGGACTGTCTGTGGCATAGGGTCCACGGGCCTTCCCCTTGCTTCCTGTGCGCACTGGGGACAAAGACGGGCCTCACTGGAGCCCTCTGCGCTGCCAGTGTGCTTCCTGCACCCAGGGCCAGCCCGCCCTGGGGAGGGGCCAGGCCCGCCCTGCTGTGATAGGCGACAAAGGCTGCCCTCTGAAGGAAGCTCCCAAGACCCAGAGAAGGAGCCCTCCAGGTCGAGGTGTGCATCCGAGGCCAGGGGTGGCCAGCGCTCCGCCTGCCCCTGCAGCCCAGCCTTCCTCAGGCCAGGTAAGTTCTGGATGCCTGTCCCCGCCACCCTCCTAACAGCCCCACCAGCCCGCTCCACCCACGCTGCAGCCGCCTGGGTTTGGGCCTGAGCTGTGGGGAGGAGAGCCGTCCTGGGGGCCCAGCCCTGGCATCAAGTAGGATGGCCCTGGGTGAGACCCTCCCTACCAGACCTCAGTCTACCCATCTGTAAGCTGGGAATGGGCTGGACAGTATGGTCTCCAGGAGTCCCTTCCATTCAAGCCCCTGTGACAGTTTCTGAAGTCGGCTGGATCATGGTGGGGCTCCGCATCCTGCTGCTGCCAGGGCACGCTGTTCTGTGGGCTTGCTCCTCGCCTGTCACCCACCCAGGACACCACAGGTTCTCTGCTTAGACACAGGCTGAGCGCCGCCAGCCTTGCCTCTCTCACCCTCTGCAGAAGCAGCGGCAGCCATGGCGGGGATGAAGACAGCCACCGGGGACTACATTGACTCCTCCTGGGAGCTGCGGGTATTTGTGGGTGAGGAGGATCCTGAGGCTGAGTCTGTCACCCTCCGGGTCACAGGAGAGTCACACATCGGAGGGGTGCTCCTGAAGATTGTGGAGGAGATCAGTGAGTGCCACACAGCCCCTCCTGCCGACTCAGCACATGGGTGACAGCAAGGGTGTCTCTGGGCACTTCCGGGCTGTCCCTGCTGCGCAGCTCCCGATAACCATGTCACGGTGACTCAGGCACCAGCTTAATCGTTTGGTTCCAAAAAAGACATTTCTCCAACTTCCCCTCTCCCCCATCCTGGTTCCTTTCCGCCCCTCCAGCTGGCTCTGCCGAGTGCCCGGAGTCCCCCACTCATCCACTCTTAAGGGCGGACGGCAGGCCTTGCCTGGGCCCAGGACAAAGTCACAGTCAGGTCTGAGCGAAGGCCAGGGCTCCTGGTGCCCAGGGGACCTGCCCATACACTTCCCACCCCCAGCAGAGCCCTTAGCAGGCTGGTGACAGACCCAGCCTGGGTGGCTGGATGGGAAGGCCCTGCCCCCACAGGAAGTTACGGCAGCCTGTGGTTTCAGTCTGGAGAGATGCAGGGCCTTGACATGGGGGCTTCTCCCTGTCCTTCCCTGCCAGGGTCGGGGGCTACCCTTTCCTGGGAGGACAGCAGGACACTCTGATAGTCAGACCGGAAGTCAGGCCAACAAGAGTCCAGCCAGGACGAGGCGCCTGGGGAGGAGCAGGGGCGCGGAGGCTCCCTCAGGCCTGGCCTACGGGCAGCCCTGGAGGGGTTGGAGCACATCGGAGGGGTGCTCCTGAAGACTGTGCACAGGAGAGGCCCCCGGATTGCCTGGCCCCTGGGCTGAGGCAGGGGGCAAAGCTTCCAGGGGTCCCAGAGAGCCTGAGAGCAGAAGTGGGGACTGAGGTCCCCTGGGAGACTGGGTGTCAGACGGAGGCTGAGGAAGGCCAGCCAGGACAGAGGGGGTGAGGGCCAGTTTGTGGAAACAGCAGGAGGCCCAACAGATCTGCTATTGTTGGGCAGCCCCAGGCAAGTCCTATAGCTCTTGTCCCAGCACTGGGGACACTGTCCCACCCACCCCACTCCCAGTCACCCCTAAGTGTGATGCACAGGAGAGCCACCTCCAGCCCAGCGGGAGACTTCCCAGGGAAAGCCACTTCAGACAAGTCCTGAGAGGTGGCCACAGTGGGGAGAAGCTGGACAATGAATCAGGTGCTCTGAATCAGGGCCTGTGGGCTGGTGAGGACTCCTGGAGCATGACATGACCTGACACCAGGCGGGTGGCCCCTCAGTGGTAGTCCCAGAGTCCCCGAGGCTCCTCAAGGGGCCTGGGCCCCACCCTGGAGGTGAAGGGCAGCCACCCAGCGTTTTCTGTGGGAGACCGCACGCTAAGGAGGACCTTGCACAGAGCCCTTTGGCAGCTGGTGGGGCAGGGAGACTCCAGGGGGCCACTAAGTTGTCCCAGCAGGAGGTGACGAGGCCTGGGAGGCATGGTAGAAGGCGAGAAGGTAGGTTGGGAGCTGAGGCTGACGTCAGCGGCTAAAGGTAAAAAGCATGATGCGTGGGCCTCTGGAAGAGTCTCGTCACCAAGCACCCGGATTGGCACAGAGGAGCATCTCAGTCCAGAGCAAGGTTAAGCCCTCTACCTCAAAACCTGGGACTAGCAGCCATTTATAGCCCAATGTTGGGCACGTGGCCAGGTAAATAGAGGTGTCTAAAATGAAGGAAGCCACTGGACATGTCCCTTTGCTGGGGGCACGTGAGTTTCTGGCCTGGGGTTAAGGACAAGGTCTGGAGGGTGGCATCCATGCCACTGGAACTCCCAGCCATGGAACAGGAGAGGCCTCAGGAAGAGGGCCTGGCTGAGGAGGGAGGAGGTCCCCGGCTCTGGGGGAAGGACGGGGTGGGGTCAGGCGAGCACAGGAGGAGAAGGAGATGGTGTCACAGAGTGAGGACATGGACGGGAGGGCCAAGGCTTGACCAGGTGGACAGAGAAGCTTCTCCTGGGTTGGCAACACTGGGGGAGCAGAAGGTGGGAAGTAGGTGTGAGTGAAGGTGGGGACAGGTGGCCATAGGAGGAGGACCTGGGAGAATCTGAGAGGGGCTTTGCAAGCTTGAGGGGACCGAGCACCCTGAGCAGCTTTTCGTCACACTTTGTTTCTGTGCTGGTCTCTCAGTGGTTCTCGCTCTTGCAGGATGGACAGAGTCCTGTGGCATCCATTTCTATGTCCCCAGTTCCTGGCTGAACGATGAGTGACGTAGTCATAGTTCACTTCTGTATGGTCACGTGCCTGCATAAGTATGTCGCAGACACTCTGCTCCCACCGTGGAATGGCACTGGTCCTGGTTCATGAGTCAGGGCGACTATTCCATCTTACAAACAGAAAACCTGAGGTCTAGAGAGGTTAAGTGCCTCGCCCAAGGTCACGCAGCTAGTAACCAGGACATGTGTACAGAGTGCCTGCTGCTCCATGCCAGGCAAATCCCAGCCCCCAAGGACATATAGACATGGTCTCTGCCTCTCCGTCTCCTGGAATGAAAGCAAGAGGCCATTAGAGAAGCAATTCCACCAGGCACAGTGTGCACGCCTGTGATCCCAGCGTCTCAGGAGGCTGCGGCAGAAGGATTGAAAGTTCAAGGCCAGCCTCAGCAGTTTAGCAAGACTCTAAGCAACTCATTGAGATCTTGCCTCTAAATGAAATATAAAAAGGGGCTAGGGATGTGGCTCAGTGGTTAGGCACCTCTGGATTCAAT